AGAGAGAGAGAGAGAGAGAGAGAGAGAGAGAGAGAGAGAGAGAGAAATCCAAGTAATATCTGGAAGCTCTAATACTTGATCTCATGCATTCTGTTCTTCAACAGAAATGGCAAACCATAAAAATGGCAAAATGCAACTGCTCCAATTCTGCTCAAGCACATTAAGATGTTCAAAATCATGTGAATGTTGATGATTAGGATTTAAAGACATTTCATTCTCTCAAAAAAGAAATCTGGAAAAAAATATTACTAACAATTTTTAATTTCTGTGATATACAGTAGAAGATATCCCAGTTTACATGACAAAAGCAATCCAGAGAGGCAGTTATAGAAAAAAAAATTCTATAATTTTTGCTGACCATCAATATTTCATGCACAATAAAAATGAGTTGAGATAAATTGGTAAAAATTAAAAACTGAACTTTTGAGTCACTACAACACTGAACTCTTATTTTAGTTGCCTTAAGGAAGTGTTTACTCCCATAAAGAATTCCATTTAAAAAATGGAAATAGGTCTGTTCATTTGCCTTCTCCTGATTCTTCAAAATGATTACTACCTTTATTATAAAGTTGACTGAGTCAAGCTACCTTTCACTACAGCAACTTCTGACTAAAAATTATACCCTCACCAATAAGCTCCTCTTTCTATAGTCCTTTAATGGTTATAAAACTATTTCCTCAAAGCAACCCCACGACGAGGGCAAGTATTTTTACACCCATCTTACAGATGAGACTTCAGGCTTTTAACTCCCCTAAAGCTAAGAAACTAGAAACTAAGCAAGTAACACATTGCCTGGCTCCAAGTCCAAGGTCCTTTGTCAGACAAGCTTTCATGTCACATGAATGAACCTATACAAGTTTCTGAATAGTAAATGAATGGCAAAATACTTAAGCATGTTCACCACAGATTTCAGAATGCAACACTTCAAAACCCCACTGACAAGTTTAAGGTCTCTGGTATCTGTACAAGGAAAGGCTCTGTCAAGCCATGTTTCTGTTGTCTTCCCAGTTGGCTTTTCATTAGTTCAAATTGCTCTTTAGTCTTTACCTTACTGTACACTTGAAAATTACCTGTACATGCTTGTGTCCTAAATGTTTTTAGGGACAACCTGAAGTCCACAAAATGGACAGCAGAAACAGCAAGTTAACACTCTTTCATTAAGCTCCCTCCTTTTAGGAAGAGGCCCCTTCCATTCCCTTTGGAAAGGTGATTCATCATCTGCTCTAAAATGCTGGAAAAAGCGCCCAGATGGAGAACGTTTGCTTTGCGGTTAATCAAAGCAAAAACAAACCACATAGAAAAGTGTGAAGCTCCTTAATTCAGACACTGAGGCTGCATGCTTCAGGCAGCTGCCCTCTGCAATCTTTAAGATTAAACTCAACTCAGCGGTCCCACCTATGCTCTGCTCAAATCCCCCTCCCTCGGTTTTCTCCTCTGCCGTCTCTACGAATCATGCAGGCAGAGCAGGAAAAAATGCTTGGGAAGCTTTAGGCCAAAGACTGGCTCAGGGGAATCTGGGATGCCAGATATGCAAAATAGCATATTTTAATGGCCCCTGGATTCCCCCTTTCAAGCTAGCTAGAGGCTACAGACCCTGAAACCGTAAGCAGCAATCAACATACAGAGTCAAAAGTCTAGCCCCAGATTGGTCCCTGAACTACTCTAGAAAGGTGGCTCTGCACCTAACACGATGCATTTAATTGCAGTAATAAGATTTTTTTGCCCTGGAGGTGTGTTCATGCCAGCTTGCCCTTGTAAGGAAATCAGGTCTGACCCGAGCAAACCTAACCCCACAATTCCAAGGAAGCTGGAATAGAAATTCCGACTTGCAGCATCCTCCTCACTTCCCCCACCTCTAACGCCCCAGGGTTACTGTTATCCCAGACGCAACTGGGGGAAGCTATAGGCTGAGAGGCTCTCCACGACAGGAGGTTGCATTCCAAAAGTTAGACAACTCAGTGTGCTAAAGGTCATTAAAGAAAGGGACTCAGAGAAATAATAGGGACCAAATTTCATTCCTAGAAACCAGCATGAATAAACGACAGTGCTCACTTTGTGCTAGGTGTGAAAACGTTAAACACGTTAAATCACTTCAATCTCTTTCCTGGGTCAAAAGGTAGGGAAAGGGGAACAGACGAGAGCAACAGCTCAGCAAAAGGCTAATGACAAACTCTTCAAACTCGAGACCCCATCTCCATCAAAGCAAGGGAAAGTGGAAAAGGATGGGGGAGGTGGATGCGGGTGCAGGACTGGAAAATTGGGGGAGGGGAGAAGAGGTAAGAAATAGAACCTAAGAACTTACTGAAGAAGATGTACTCCGTATAGCTGCTCCAGATCTTGTCGTCCCGGTACTGGTTGATGAAGGCGGCGGTGCCCGTGGAGTTACACGCCACCATGTGGAAGCCGGCCTCCGAAAGCCGGTCGAACGCCTGTTCCAGGTAGGTGAACTTGAGATAGAAGCGGGACGTATACTTTTCTGCGGGGCGGTCGGGGTCCCGGCTCTCGTTCAGCGTGTCCCCAAAGACCTCCTTGGCCAGGGCGATGCGCCCGCACACCATGATCCGCGCCACGCGGCGGAATTTGGCGTCTGCCTGGTTGTCCCGCACCGTGGTGTAGGAGCCCCGGTAGCCCAGCGTGAGGAAGCCCGAGCGCTTATCCAGCAGGGAGCCACTGCTGATGCCTCCGGGACCCGGGGCTGTGGCCGCGGAGGCGGCGCCCCGGAGCAGGAGCAGATCGCTGCTGCCCTGAGACAGGTTGTCCTCCAGGTCGCTTTGGCAGCCCTCGTCGTTGAGCGAACTCTGCTTGGTCACCTTGGGAGACAGCAGCTTGACCAGGTCGCCCAGTTGGAAGTACTCAGCCTCCCGTAAGAGCCGCTCCTTCTCCGGGAAGTGTTCGGGCAATGAGAGCTGTTTGTCCCGCAGGTAATCCAGCACGTACCTGAAGAGGAAGCCATCCCGGTCAATGAAGAAGCGCGCTCGGCTATCCCTGGGTAGTTCCCCGCGGCGCCGGGCGCCGCCCCGGGGACTAGGCGGCGAGAACATGCTGGCCAAAGTGCTGTCCGGGACGCTGAGCAGCGTGGAGTGCTTGGTCACATAGACCTGGCCCCCCACATTCAGCTCCACCACTTCGGGGAAGGGAGAGGGGGCGCTGGGACCAGTGAAAGATGTGGCGGCGGCGGCCGCCGGAGAGGTGGAAGAGATCATCTCGCTGATGGGCAGTATCGTGCTGCCTCCACTGCCTGTGTCCTTCAGAGCCATGGTCATTACCCCTGCCAGCCAAAAGACCCCTGGAAGCACCTCACTTTATCCTCCTTTGCCACCCACACCCTCCCCCCTCCCGCCACCGTCACGCCCTCTTGCCCCCTTCTTGTGGCCAGGTGCCCCGACGCCCTCCGCCCGGCTGCGCTCTGCCTTGTCCAGCTGGAGCAGCCGGTTCAGTGCTTGGAGAGGCAGCGGCGGTGGCCCTCAGTCTCCATCGGGGCGGGCAGGGCAGGAAGGGATAGTAGTGCCAACGCTGTTTCAACAACAATATAGTAACAGCTGCTCCTTTCCGGCTCGAGGGGTAAGTGTGAGAGACTTGGGCTGCTGCTCCGCTCTCAGCCAGGAGGAGGGAGGAGGAACTGGAGCAAACAGTAACTCGCCTCCCCGGCAGTGAGGAGAGCGAGCGAGCAAGCACGCGAGGCAAGCCACAGGCACAGACGGCAGCAGTACCAGCTCTTGGCTGCCCCGGGAAGCTGCACTGACGTCAAGCCCTGGATTGGGACTCTAGCCACAGCTGTCACTTAAAGAGATAGCCGCCAGACGCGGCCCGCCTGCGCCGTCGCCAGGGGGCGGGAGTTCAGAGGGGCAGCCTCCTAAGAACTAAAGCAAGGACAGGGAGGTGGAGGAAAGGGGGTCACTGGTCCCCTCAGGGGGGAGGACGGAGAAAGGAAGAATCATCTCTCTCTTAAGGAAAAAAATATGTAAATTATTTCTCTACTCTGTGATAATTATTGGGTAGTGGGAAAGTACATGTACTTCCCAAGCTGAAGCCATTTGAAATTTTGGGATGGAAGTAGAGCAGCTACCTTAATCCATTAACAAATTAAGAGAACCTGTTTGCTAGCAGGTGGTATTGCATGTTGTCAGTGGAGACACATAAGATGCCGGCGTTTAAAGGAAAACTCATGCCTACATCTCATGTGCATATGTTGATGGGAAATTTAAAAACTACATTTGATCTTGATTTACATGGGAACTGTCTGAATTTTTTTTTCCACTATCTTCTGTCAAGAAGACAGACAAAAAAAAAAAGAAGACAGACTCTACCTTTTCCCTTTCACCTCGCTCCAATGCAGTCCTTCTTCAGCTTAATCCCTCTGTTCTTTCAGTTCTAAGACAAAAGCACCATCTTACACTATATTTGTCTCTTAACCTTAGAGTAAGGTCACAAGTGAAAATTATATTGATTTTATCTCACCCCATTTTCTACTGGTACCTATCTGAGGTTCAGCATGCAACATCAGCACACCTTTGTGAAGAGGGATGGAATTACAGATGAGAAGAGTCTATTCTGTAAATGTCAGAAGCTTACATATTTATTCACCATGGGCACACTTGGAGGCTTGTGAAGATAAAGAACCATGGGACTTATAGAATACTTAATATTTGTTGAATTAATTCTTGAATGAAAAGTAATTATGATCCTATGTAAACTGTGCTTTCAGCTATTATTAACACTCTAAAAATGTTGATAGCAATTACTATACATACTCGTTGATAGTTTAAAAAAACAAAATACTATACAATATGGTAAGATTTTTTTTTTAATCACCATGTCTCTTTTACTTCCATGCCTATCAGGGATATATTTTCCAATGTCATCTCCTTCAGTCAACCAAAGGAAGCTTCAGATTTCAGATCATAGGATCATAGATTTAGAGCTGACAGGATACTCAAAGGTGATCTAGTGCAACCCCCTTCATTTGATAGAAGAGAAGGTGAAGCCTAGAAATATCAAATGACTTGGCCAAGTTAACCAGGATCATTTAAGCTCAAGCAAATTATTTATATCATTTATGTCTTCCAAAAACATTGTAATATATTAAAAGCAATTTATCTCATTGCTTCTCATAAATTATATTTCAGGTAATGTCACATTTACTGACTTCAAAGACAGGGGCAAGTCATTCTAAATTTCAATTTTCTCATCTATAAAATGGAGATGATATTTACATTACCTACTTCACAGGTTATGAAAGCACTTTGTAATTCTTAGGGCATATTATAAGTAAGGATGATGGTGGTGGTGGTGGTGGTGGTGGTGGTGGTGGTGGTGGTGGTGGTGGTG